TTTTTGCATGTATGCCTTATACAGTTGATCTGTTTTTCCAAAGAGCATGTTTCCCTAACAGAAGTCATGTGATTATGCGGCATGTCTGGACACAAACAGGTGAGGGTTGTCGTGGAAAGTGACAGATCACTCGTTGCTTGTTGTAACATGCATTTTGTTATACCTTCATTATACCTACTGTTCTACATAATCACAAATGTAGCTTGTACGTATGGATCAGTGAGGGTTACAAAGGTTCCTTTAAAAGTATCCAGTGAATGAAAAGACCATTTATAGCTATGGTCCTTTGCTTTATCATCTAGTTTGAGCTAATATTCCATACCTTTATGATGTTTGAAAAATAGGCCGATCAACCTGTAAGACCTGAGTCATCTGACTGAGAATCAGCGATATGTCTGGGTGATATGACGAAAAAAGACTATTGTCATTGTGTCTTGGAAATAAGGCCATAATTGCCAGTGTATAACATAAAAGTCACCTTAGATAGCCTAAGTAAAAATCATCAACAGCTTACAATTCTGACCCAATTTAGCCGTTCTTGTACAGTTTCTTTTTATCTCTTGATATATTGTAATATGAAATGAGTCTGATTACTTGGAAAGGTCATGCAAGTCCATAACATTTTTAGTACTGTAGATAGTATTGCTTTTGGGAAATGTGCTGATTTCGTGATTATAAGTCAAAAGTGATGAGTAGACATCCATCTGTCAGCAAGAGGTATAAAGATACTTTCTGATACAGGCATGTCCATTTCATTTGAAGTAAATGGAAGTGAGTAATGGTTAAAGCACTGACCCATGTGGTGAGGGTATGGGTGAGGAGTGTGAGCTTTTCCAGCTGAAAATGAGATCCGTTATCTTGGAAGGAAGTAAGCCAGAAAAGCACCGACCTGGAAATGCACCTCTCGACCAGTTTAGATATTAAAAGTTTGTGGTAGGAATTATGAAGTGCTATCTGTAATTAGTATCTATATCTAAATGATACTGCAATCTTCGACATTCTGTCCACTTAAATAGTGATTTTTTTGTGTATATAACACTGTTCTAAATGAGAAGCAAGGGTTAGTCACCACAAGGACTATATCTCAGTAATTGGTTTTGAGTGCAAATGTGTTTTCTCTAATAGGGTTTTGCATGTTGGTTTCAAAGACCTTGTTCAAAACCATCTTAACTTAGATTGTGTGTCTGTGTGTGTGTGTGTGTGTGCGTGTGCGTGTGTGAGTGTGCCTGTGTGAATATATTGATTACATTATTATCATTTGGTATAGCCTATTCGTTTGGTAATCAAGTGAACAATAAAATCAGTGTGAAGTGAAATGAAGGTGGATTTTATTTGAAAGGTTGAACTGTGCTCTCAGGACAATGGCAAATTAATTACAAATCTAAACAAAACAATAAAGTCCATATCAAAGTGATTTATATTAAGCGCTGTCATTTATTGCAGCGTGAACCTTCCTCAAAGTTCAGCGAGTCACTTTATAACCTTTTAAATATCCGGTTGCTTTGTCTTATATCACCCAGTGCTGAAGCGCGGCCTGGCTCTCCCCCGTGTGGAGGGGCAACTCTCTGTTGCAGCGCAAAAAGCGCAATATGATGTGATCCACCAAATAACTGTTGAGATCAAATTAATTCATGGAACAATTCATGGCTGGGTGTGTGTTAACATAAATGGTGACTTGTGGGAACAATAACCTGGATGTTTTACTTGGCACATTTAAGACTTTATCCTTTTATTCGACTTTTAAATCTGACGTAAATTTATTTGAGCTGATTAAACGGTTAACGAGAATTGTTTTCATGTTTGTTTGCTTTTTTTCTTTGTTTGTTTGTTTTTACCACGAGCCACAATAGGCTTAGTGACGATGCAAAAGTTAAATTTTATTTTTATTTTTTAATTTCTATTTGAGGCAAACGTTTAATTTGCTCAACATACATCAATTTCACTTATCAAGGTATCATTTATTTATTTAAGTGCTCTGCACCTCGGAGCGAATAGGGAAAAGTGACACTTTCTTTTCGTTCGTATTTAGTTGTAAATGTTCTGTTCTTTGATTGTGTGTGTGTGTGTGTGTGTGTGTGTGTGTGTGCGCCCGCTCTTGTCTTGTCTAGTCAATTGGGGCACATGTGACGCGCGTCCTAGTCACTTTCCCCGCACCTCCCTTCTAGGTGGTGTCCACTCACTTTTTTTCGGGTGGGCTGTGAGCCCCTCCTCTAAATCCCTTAAAGTTATTTACAGTGTAAAATGGATTTGGATTTGGTGATAGCGTTCACATTTTGTGTCCGGACCACAGCAAGCAACACACGGTCCAAGAAAGAGATTTAAACTGACACAAGGACACGTGTGAGGTTTTATGTGTGAGGTTTTATGTGGACTCATTGTGAACTGGGATTAAATAACATTTATTTTCGTTTGGAATTATAACTTTCGGGAAAGGTACAGTATTTCATTCATTTTTTCCCCCGTATTAATTTTATGTCAGTGTCGTCAGTCAGAGTGATTCAGTTATTATTTGCTAAACTTATGCAGTCGATTTATGCATATCACCATACATAATATGGTTACATTTGAATCAGAACATAATTTAAATGACTAGATGTGATTTTTAACGAATGTTTTCAACATTCTAATGATTATTATCATAACTTATTTTTGTTATTCAAATTATTATTTTTTTACAACATTCCAAGTGGATACGGAGTAGCCTAAATGCTACAATATTTGAACCTATACGTCGCACGAAAGTATAGCCAACTCAAATTCCCCAAGTAAAATTATCCAAAAAAGAACAATTGAACTGAAATAGTAGTAGGCTACTACCAAAAGCCTCGTTAACAGTTCTCATCTCTGATGCTGACCGTAGGCTACATCATTTGGCGTGACTAGGTTCCAGCTCAGTTATGCCAGGGCCAGCACATGTGAATCTCAATTTACATATATTCTAGTATTTGACTATTAGAAATTAACTATAAACATCTAATTATTATAGAGTGCGGAACTTCCAGTTGCAGTCTACATGAGTGAAATACAAGAGCGCGCAGACATATAGCGCATGCGTGAAAGAAGCGAAGGTCTCTGATCTCAGAGTTTTTGGATGACATTGAGAATTGTAATTCATGAATCGGTTAGTTTCTTTATAAATACAATTCCGTGTAGCTGCGATTAAGTCTAGTTAGGATTATTTTGCCACAGTGCTGGTAGAACATTTGATTTTCCATATTGTATACGGCTAGTGGGCTAAAGCACACATTTTTGTGTGTTCATGCAATGTAACATTTGTTTACATTAATTTTTGTCACAATTTCTATTAGATTCTAGGTTAATGAAATTCAGAGTGACCAAAAGTGTGATGACTTCATCACTGCACGTGTTTACCACTTGATGTAGTGTCCTTAAATGTTGAGGCGGCAATTAAACTTAGGCTACTTGTGCAATTTTAAACTGCTGACTTTTTTTATTATCCCCACACTGTATGAGATCAAACGTAAGGAAAACAAACACATGCATGAAGTCAGTAGGCCTACCTCGATGAAGAAACAATAAAACAAATCTTAATTTTCACCTACATCGTCTTTTCACTTTCACAGTAGTAAGCTATATTTTGATTAAAGCCTATCTCTAATCTAAGAATGGTTGTTTTACGAGCCCAACATTTGTAGTGGTGCGGTGGCAAAAGTTTGTGCCTTACCCCCCGCAGGGGATTATAACAACTGAATACTCAATTCCGCCACCCACCCTCTGAGAGGAAACACTCTGTATGACCACCACATCGCCAGTCAGATGAGTAACGCCGTTCAGCAAATGCGAGTCTTAATAAATAGCAAATGTCTCAGTCATTCAGATCAGTTTACTACTAGATTTTAGTGATCAAATCAATGATTCTTCTCTTCACCTCTTAGCCACGAAGATGTTGCTAAATATAAGACACATATTGTGGTTGATCTGCATATACCAAACAACGACTGGACCAGGTAAGCTTTTCATTTATTTATTTATTTATTTTTACATCTATTATATTTCAAAAGTATTTATGGTGATGGTGAACGTAAGAGTGGAAATTGGATTTATTCATGCAAGACGATTTATTCATGGCGTTTACATGTGTCTAAATGAATGAATGCTTTTATTTTTTGTGCTGTTTTAAGGGCTAATTTGATCTTATTTCTTGCAACAAAAATCAACTTAAAGGGATAGTTCACCCAAACAAATTTTTTTTTTCTCTCACCATTTACTCACCCTCATGCTGTTACAAACCCATATGAGTTTCTTGTTGAACACAAAAGAAGATGAAACAATTTTGGTAACCAGACTGACAGCACCCATTGACTTCCATAGTATTTTTTTTTTCTAATATGTAAGTAAATGGGTGCCATCAACAGTCTGGATACCAAAGTTCTTCAAAATATATTTTTGTGTTCAAGAGCAGAAAGAAACTCTTTGTAAGGTTTGGAACAACTTGAGGGTAAGTAATGATAAAATTTTAATTTTAGCGTGAACTATCTCTTTAATTGTAAAATTCATTTAAATGCATCTCCCGAATTGGTCAAACCTTATGTGGAGCAGACCCTGCATTCCCACAAACTGTTGTCCCCTAGCTGCCACTAATGGTTTACTTCCAGGCACCTATACCTTTTAATTAGGAACTTCTTGTAGTCTGGTGCAAACAGATGGCTTGACTTCATCACTCTGAGAGGCCATGCTCACACACGGTGGTGTGCTACCCTCAGGGGTAATCCCACCTGTCCAAAGCATTTCTCACATTGTTGGTCTGAGTATATAGTGATTTTCTGACAGTTATGATCCTTTCAACGTCCCCTGTTCAAGGTCATCTGTCCTTCTACAGGAAAATAGTCTCTGGTATACTTACCCTTAGGCTTCACAGAGGCAGTAAAATAATTCTTAGCTCAATTATCATAAACACTGTGAGGCATGATTTCCTGTGGTTTGTGGTGGATGCAGCTGTGTGTATACGTCTCATGCCTTTCATTCTCTCAGTCTCTAGCACATTATTGGTGATGCGTCCCGTCAGCGGCTTGTTGTCCGGGAAAGTGACCCTTCCATGTTATTTCTCCATCATCCCAACTGTTGGACCTAGAAACAGAAATGCCTCCGGAACAGATTACCTGCGCATCAAATGGACAAAATTTGAGGGGGGTGTGGAGTCGACTGTTCTTGTCACCCAAAACGGCGTCATTAAGATTGGCTCGGGGTACAGGAGTCGCGTGTCTGTGCAGAGTCACCCGGAAGACATTGGCGATGCTTCTCTAACTATGGTGAAGCTCCGGGCAAGTGATGCTGGAACATACCGCTGTGAAGTAATGTTTGGGATTGAGGACACGCAAGACACAGTTAGTTTAAATGTTGATGGTAAGATTGTTTTAACACCCTTGTCTTCTCGCTTTCTCTCAAATTTGAAATATTTTAAAGACGCCATTGTTGTATCTGAAGCACATATGCTGCCAATATGGGAAATTCCTTAAAACTAATTGATCAATGACAGTCATAACCAAAGTAAATTATAGATAAATGAAAGTTCAGTCTGTTAAGTGGAACTGTTAATGGGAGAAAACCCGCAAGCACAGATTATCTAAATTGTTGAGGGATTTTAAGGTTGTTTTGGATCCTCCCAGATTATAGTTACAGCGTAAAAAGTGAAATGCACTCCAATAAACTTTGCCTCTCTTAATGTCTTCCCTCTGTGCTTGGATACACTGTGATGCATCTTGACACTGGGAGACATCTTGTATGGGATGATTTATGCACAGGCCATGTGAAAGGATGGGATGGGTCAGCCCTGAACTGCTTTGGCTCTAGAATCGCAGCACCACCCTGCTCTCAGCAAAGACACACTGCCATTTTAATTAGATCCATTACTCATTTAATTTAAATTTGTTTCAAAGCGACAATTATGGGGGTGGATGGAATGTCCCCTCGTTCAAATGAATGTCCCAACACTGCTTGCTTAATTAATTTGTTTATGAGCAACTAGCAGACCTCTTCAGGACTAAAGCAGTTTGTATTAGTCTTCAAATTTATGGCGGTCACTGACAACAATGGCAGTAATACAATATGCCCCTATTCAATGAACCTGTTAATGGATGGAATGGTCTTTGTAAGGAGATGCTCATTTTTGTTTGTTTTATTTGTTCTTTTGAACAGGCGTGGTGTTTCACTACAGGTCAAGGGTCAGCAGATACACTCTGAACTATGCACAAGCTGTGCAGACCTGCAGCGACGTCGGAGCAACCATCGTTACGGCAGAACAGCTGAGAGCTGCTTATGAGGATGGATTTGACCAGTGTGATGCTGGCTGGATTGCAGATCAAACAGTGAGGTTAGAAACAACACACACACACACACACACACACACACACACACACACACACACACACACACACACACACACACACACACACACACACACACACACACACACACACACACACACACACACACACACACACACACACACACACACACACACACACACACACACACACACACACACACAAACGACTCGCACTTCTATATTCTTGACTGGCAATCTCAGTAATAAGTTCTAAACAATATGTCAGCATGTTGATACAAAAAGGAAATTGCAAAAGCTAAACAAATGATAATTGTGTACTATTTTTCAGTCGTGAGAAACTTGTTTCTCTGTGTGGATTGTTTCTATCTGTAGATATCCAATCACTAGACCAAGGCCTGGCTGCTTTGGAAATCTGCCTGGAAAACCTGGTGTCAGGTCTTATGGCAAACGCAGGCCCACAGAGACCTTCGACGTGTTCTGCTATGTGGATAAGCTTGAGGGTAAGAGTTTAGTATTCTGTTATTTCTTACAACTTATTTCATTTCAAAAATAAAACAAAATAAAACTTCTTGACAAGGCCAATAGTCCTGTGGTAATGTGAAAGAGCTGTAGTTTATCTGTTATATTTGCTCTATGCTGACATATTTCATGTGGTTTTAAACCGCGGTTATGACCAAAAATGAATATCAACCATATTGGCAATGAACATCTGTGGTAATAAACATTGAAGTGGAAGCTCTCCTATTTTAAAGCTAATCTGAGTTTCTTTTCAATCCCAAATCTGTTGTGAACATAAACTTGTTTTGCCGAATGTACATCAGCTTATCAGAACATCCTGTCAGTAGTTTTATTGGTAACACTTTACAATAAGGTTCATTAGTTAACAGTAGTTAATGCACCCTGAACTAACATGAACAAACATTGAACAGCTGGATTTTTTAAACTAACATTAACAAAGATTAATAAATACCGTAACAAACATTGTTAGGTCATGTTAGTTAATACAATAACTAATGTTAACTAATGAACCTTAATTGTTACTGTTTTATTTGATAGATGATAGTTTGCATGATAGTATTCTTTTAAAAATGACATACATGTATTTAAAGTAACTTAATAATGATGAGAAATTGTTGTTTGTAGAAGATTCTAGTTCTTTCAAAAGCCAGAATGACCAAGAAATATTAAGGGAAAAAAAGAGAGTTTTTATTTATCATATCTTGTCAGGAGACTTAGTATACTTAATACTGAGTGCTGAGTTCAGTTTAGTGTTGTGACAAAGATATGAAAAACAACTAACATCAGAAAGAGCAAATGGAAAATGGATTCATAAAATGAACACCCTGTTGTATACTGTGGTGTTTAATATGTCTCATTGCCTCATGAAAGAAGATTTGGGAATGTCTGCTGTATATTACTTAGACGTCATGAAAACCTCAGTTCTAGCTTTTGACAGCAACACCCAAGGCTGCAGGAAAACAACTCCCCCTCGTTTTTATATTCATCCTGTTCACCACAGCATTTGCTTGAATATTTTCTGAAAGCTATTTAATTTATTTGCGTTTGTCATATTATTCAGGGTATTCCCCCTCCTCCCAGATCCAATATCTGGGTTTTGATTCATTGACTGGCACTTTGGAATTTATGTGTTAGCAAGACTTTAATAATGATGATTATTGCTTTTTAACATGTAAGCTGTTTTTATGACAAACTCAAAATTCAGCTAATTTCAGATATTTAATGTTTCTTTCATGTTTTTACTCCAGGCAATGTTTACTTTGCGCCCACAATGCAAAAGATGACCTTTGCTGAGGCCAAGGCGGAGTGTGAAAGCATGAATGCAGAGCTGGCTTCACCTGGTCAACTCCACGCTGCCTGGAGACAGGGCCTCGACCGATGCGATTATGGATGGCTGTCTGACGGCAGTGCCCGCCACCCTGTCTCCGTACCCAGAAGTCAGTGTGGTGGTGGCCTGCTGGGTGTCCGCACCTTGTACCGCTACCGAAACCAAACAGGCTTCCCGGATCCCAGTATGAGGCTTGGAGCATACTGTTTCAAAGGTAAAGACTTTTCACTGAGCTCATGAAGTGTTTATGGTGTAATAAACGAACACCTGAATGCAAGAACAGCCACTTTACCAGCTGCTTTGACGTCATTTCTCACAGCAGGCATAAAATTGAAGCCCTTACCCTATTACACACATAAACATGAGCTCCAGACTTACTGTGAAGGCCTCTTAACGGCAGTAAATCAAAGCAGAATATTAGTTAGAGTGCACCGCTTTTTGTTAACTGATGATCTTTTAGGTTGAGACGCAGAGTATGGAAAAGTTTACATGAGAGTAGCTCATTCTCCAGTGATTCACTGATCTCACTCACTGCATTCTGGGTTGCCGCCCGTTTCTAAGGAAACCACTCTGGGCTTGGTTAACAAGAGTGTTTAAAGACTCAGAGGTCCGTTATGCCACTGTAGTGCTTCATGGCTAAATGGCAGTTGCTTGTCAGACTTTGCTTTGTGGTGTTGTAGGTACTGAGACTTCAGAAAGACTTGATGATGTTCTCATTGGCCAAGATGAAATGACCTCATAAGAACACTATTATGCAACCAGGGGAATCATTCTAGTTAGTCTAGAGCTAACTAGTCTAATGGCTCTGAGCAGCTATTTTCAATGCTGGTAGGGATGCAAGATATATAATTGGTATTATGGTATGACTGTTATTAGAGATTTATTTATTTATTTAGCAGCCAGTACTGGATATTTAAAATATTAAAATTTTATTTTCCGTTTTTACATTTCAATGACCTTTCCTGTCATCAAATGCTAACCTAAAGTTAATCTTTAAAAACACTGGTAAATGTAAATCTCAAAATGAATATCCATTTTTCATATTGTGCATTATAATGTTTTGATGCCTAGTTTTTACTCGTAGCATTTAAAAACATTTTATTTTCAGCCATCGGTTATTGACCTTGACATAAAAATAATAATTTTAAATTTAATTTTTTTTAAATAGTGCATCCATACTATCAGCTGATATCTGCTTGAAAAGGCAAAAACCAAAATCTCCAAAATTATTTAGCAAGATTATAGATCAACAATAAAATAGATTGTCCTACTTTAGCTCAATTCTTGATTAAAACAATCATGTGCGTATAGTTAATGCATATACAATTGTCTCTGAAAGGTACGGATTCCTTTCTTTGAGTCGCCATTAAAAGGATAGTTCACCCAAAAATGAAAATTCTGTCATAATTTACTCACCCTCGAGTTGTTCCAACCATGTCTGAATTTCTTTCCTCTCCTGAACTCAAAAGAACATATTTTGAAAAATATCGGTAACCAAACAGTTAATGGGCCCTATTGATTTCCATAGCATTTTTTTTTCCCAGACTATGGAAGTCAATAACTTGAGGGTGAGTAAATGATGATCCCTTTAATGTTTATCTAAGCCATTCGTCAAAGAACAATTATATATATTTTTTTTTTTGGTGGGTTTACTAAACAGGGCAAATTAGTGTGAGAATGCAATTCCAAAAAAAGTGCTGATGGGAGTGGAAAGTTGTGCGTGTGATCTACTGATGACATGCAAATTAAAGAACACAGACGCAGCCAGATCATTTCCATAATGACCAACGTAATCTACCAAGGGCAACGCAAATTAGCGTCTGGTTTAAGACACACTTTCTTTGGGGGGCGTTAAATAATGGTGCAAATACCAGTAAACTGACTAGCGCAAACCATAGTAATGCCATACTGGCATGATTCATTTAAATACTCTCCTACCATAAATTTGGCATCTGAATGGGAAACTCCTACAAATGCATATGCAAAATGTCAGCCGTACAAATAACCCTGTCCATGCCTTTTCAGAGCAAATTTTTTTTCACTGTGTGTCTTTAGTATATCCTGAGAGTAGTTTTGCCAAAAGAGAGTTTGCTCTGGAGCAAGCTGTAAGTAAATCTGGCCTTTAGTTGCATAATACAGAGCTAATACCTTTTCTGTAATATCTTTTTCAGATGCACAGTACAGACCTATAGCCATCGACAAACATGAAAAAGTGCTTAGGTGTTACCTGCTCCTTTTTTCCTGACTCTTTACGCTGTCAGACTTTCTGTTCTTCCTGTCATTTGCACCAGCACTTATCTGAACAGACATGCGGATAAAGGAGAGCGCTACTACCAGAGCTCTAAAATCAGTGCGTCTCGCTAACCCCTGACCTGGGGGGTTTATCTTTTCAACTGAGGTTAATTTAGACAACCTACCCCCTGCCAGGCAGGGCACTCACCCAGAATGACAGCCACTGACTGCTGTGATAAGTAATGGACCTGGGGTTCACCCTAAACCTCGACACTGTGACCTCTGTGTTTGTTTGGTCTGTTTCAACTCTGTTAAGCCTCTCTGATCCATGTGGCATTGAGTGCTGTTCAAGTGTTTTCTCTTACATGATGGGTTTGGTTCTCATGTTCTTTTGCCCTGTGATGACTATGAATGTTTGATATAGTGGCAGATGTGCATAAAATCACATGAGCTAATCAGGCTGGATTAGGATGACAAATGTTAGGATGTTTTGTTTTCGCCCCTCACCACACCTTGCCACATTGTAACATCCCACAAACCATCAGACAATGCACCACATGAATGAGAGGCATTTGTCTTAAGGGAAAAAGTACCTCATGGCTGACATCAGATTGAATAGAAAGAGCCTGGAGATAATAGAGAACAGCTGGAGCCTTGGCTGCTAGCCTGTTGTATTTGAAGATGACACTTGTTTTGTGAACACAGGGTAATTAAGGGCTACACAGCCATTAAGATCATGTAAGCTGTTTGTGTGAATGAAATTCAATTTGCAAAATAATTGTTAGGTTGTTGGAACCATTCTGACACCATTCAGATAAAATAAATCCACTGAATAGTTTAAAGCCTATTCTCGTCAACCAAACTCAAGCATTGCATACAATCAAATGTACTTAGATAGAATACTTTGAAAAAAAAAAAGACCCATATTTGAAGGTGAAAATCACTTTCAGATTGCAACAATTTAAAAAGCTTTATGACCTATGTATGTTTCAACAATTTTAAGGAATATAGGTCTCTCGAGGACCCTGAGAACGGTATAATCAAATCATGCCTTGTTTCGGCAATACTGGGATAATGTTTTATAATAATTTAATTACAATAATCATACAACCAAGCATTATGTCCATAATGTGCAAGCTGCTGTGTGAAAACGCAAAGATTTCCATAGCAGAGATCTATCTGAAAATCCTGTTTACAATATTTTTGATACAGTGGCGAAAAGTAGACAATACATACCAGTAGATCAAACCATAGTAACCATCTGACAACACAAAAAAGTAAAGTGGTATACTGTGTTATATTTCTATAAACAAAAACAATCAGATTATATGGTTGCAAGCTAAAAACCAATTATTCTGTTCAAACTACTGGTCAATTGTTTGGGGTCAGTCAATTTTTTTTTATTATTATGCTTTTGAAAGAAGTCTCTCATGCTCCCCAAGGCTGCATTTCTTTGAATACAGTAAACACAGTAATATTGTGAAATATTGTTGCAATTTAAAATACCTGTTTTCTATTTGAAGATATTTTAAAATGTTATTTATTCCTGTCAAGGCAAAGCTGAATTATCAGCATCATTACTTCAGTCTTCAGTGTCACATGATCCTTCAGAAATCATGCTGCTATGCTGATTTGGTGCTCATGTTCATTTCTTATTATTATCAACCCCCATTCTTAATATTTTTTTTGTGGAAACTGTGATACATGTTTTTTTTCCCAGGATTCAGCATTTATTTGAAATAATAGTTTTTTTAAACAATGCGAAAGCCTTTACTGTCATTTTTTGATCAATTGAATGCATAAATAAGGATTTATTTATTTCCAAAAAAGTTAGTGTAGTGGTAGTGTAGGGAAAAGGTAGTGTATTTTGATAGGCGTTTTGATTGCCTATTTTTATGTTTTGATGTATTTTGATTGAATGCACTCGTCTGCTCATTTTTGAGTGCATGTCTATAATACAAAATATCGAAATATTGGGTAAATAAGACAATTCTTTTCTCCCTATAGGCCCTTCTAAGCTTTTATTCAACCAGTCCTCCTGGGTGGATGTCACAATCAAGAGTGGTACAACTATGGAGCCCACCACTACATTCTTTGCCACAGAGACCACCAGAGGCCAGACTTCTGAGGCCAGTCCCTCTCACATATCACAGGCCACCTCTGATGACGACCTGTCTCTTACCGATGCCCCTTCTATGTTTTCTACAAGCATGACACCACCAAAGACAAGCCACTTCCCTGACAGACTAGAATCCACCAATACACCATATGCAGCTGCAGTCAGTGTGAAATCTGAGGAAAGCGTCCCCACGACAAAAGTTTCAGATTTTGATATTAGTGATTTTGGCACTGAGAAGGCTGATGATGAAGCAAAAGTTCGTGGAGATGTGGTCCGTGACGAGCTGACTACTGCCACTCCCACAGCCACGGAAGAACTAATGGAGGAACCAGAGGATAAGAGTATCATTGAAGTGAGGACCGTTCTACCTGATATTTTACTTTCAGGCTCACTAAGCACAAAACCAATGTTCGCAGTTGGGAAAACAGAGGAATCTATTCTGGTTGATATTACAACAGACAGAGTTTTAGAACCAGAATCCTCTGTAGTAACATTAGTAAACACTGTAGAATCTGGACACACAACTGAATCGTCCTCACTTAGCGAATCCATCACTCAAAGTGATCATGATAAATTCCCAACCCAGATTCTGACTCGCTCAGCTAGTGAGACCAGTAATGGTAAAGATGAAGCTGAATCACATGCTTCCACACAGTCATCCTTCTCATTGGCAACAGAGGCCACTTTTCTTGAGAGTGCTAAGTCTACTGTTTTCTCTGAGTATGAAGATGAGACTGGGTTTGGGGTTGTTATGGCGGACCCCCCACCTCTGTCTACACAGAGATCCACAAGCTCAGAACCTGAACCTTCAGAGACCTCCAGTGGAGTTACTGTCACTGATTCTACAGTTACACCCAGTGTTT